TGAGAAGCTGACTCTTTGTATGGCGTTGCGGCCTTAGACATGTGAGCCCGAGAGTCATCCTTCTGAAGCGCCTGAAGATCATCAAGCAAGAAAGAACCATTGGCACTATTTTGACATGGCTTGCAAATACCCACTTCAGTTGTGACCTGCAGGTTGCCATTCCATCACGGAAAGCGAGGAATCACGAAACAGGTGAAAAATCGTTTTAAACCCTATCGCAATCCCCGATTTCCAAGCCTGGCACCAGCCCATAAGAAGCACCACCCGTCTTCTTTCCGATTTCAGCACGCATGGGGGCAAACAGGGCTCAATTCAAGGACCGGAACGAACGAGAAGTTCGGTCTTAGTCAGGAAAACCCTCCGACCTTTGGTTTTGCCGGCATCTTGTCGTCCATGAAGGGTCATGCTAGTGATGGCTCAAATCCATCACACACATCAATGAACAGAGACGAAACTGCTCCCCCATTGCAAAGCCCTAACGATATTTCTGCTTGGCCCCAACAAATGCCGATTGCCAAACCTGCAAAGTCTTGAGCCCACTGCAGTCTTCACGCTGACGGAGGTCGGCTCCAAACCTGAGTCGCCTCAAACTATGCAAGGCGGAAGGGCACACAAAAGAAGTGCACAAATCTCGGTGGTTGGCAACTATTGGCATATTATTGGGCGCTGTTTCAGAAAGGGTCGTTTCCCATCATTTCCCATTGTTTCTTTGGGAAGGCCGATGCTACCAGATCGCAACAACACAAGTCACCACATGGGCCACGTTCAGCAGGTGGCCACTGACCTCGCCTGGGAAATACAAATCCTGAATGCTATCAGGAGGCCGCCTTACGAGGGGGGACCCTCTAGAGTAATGTTTGGAGGCCCATCGTAGCAGCGAACGACAATCAACACCCCATGGTCCCCACACAAAGCTTTCTGCTTTGAAAGACACAATGGATTTCCAAACAAATCCCAGAAGCAGCTTGGGGAATGGGGATGGTCTATGAAAGCGATATCTATTCGCTTGAGCGCGCCAATTGCGCGTCAAAGTGTGCTAAGCCTGCAAACAATCAGCCACAATGAGAGCATCGGCCAGCGCAAGTCGCGCCTTGTTGCATCTAACGGACCATGTTGCTGGTCCGAAGGAAGTTGGATGCGCAAACGGATGGTGCAAAGTCGTCCAAAGCTGCAGCGACCCGCCGCGCAGCTTGAGTTATGTGACTGCCGCCGCGTCCATCGGGGCTTGGAGTCTGCGCTCACGGCCCTCAAAGGAAGTCGTCCTCTGTCAATCTTCCCGAGTAAACTTGTTGTGTGTTTCAGCCCCTATCGATGGCAGCTCTTGTCAAGCCTTGGACCCAAATGCTACCCTTTGGCTAATCAGTTGGGAAACGAGTATTTTCCCCAAGGCTGGGTTCATGTGCCGCAAGATTGCGCAAGCAGCTGACAGCTTTGGGCTGACAAGGCGTGCCCTCTGAACTTGAGCCCTTGAAAGATTCAATCTAACACCTTGCTGTCCACCCTCCACCCACACGGGACATGACATCGTTTCCTCTTTCCATCTCTATGTGGCCCCCCGGGTTGCCGCGCCCAGCCGGAGGGCTCTCAAGGAGCCTCCCGCGCAGGCAAGCCAAACCTGCGCGCGCAGGGGGGGGGGAGGCTGACTCGAGAGAACATGCCCGGGATGTTCTGATGTTGAACCCTTGGGAACATTCAACTCTTGAGAGGAAAAGATCGAACGAAAGATTGAGAGCAAGCCTGTGCTACACACCCAGCGTCGTTTGGTCCGCTTCAAGTGACAGCAAGCAAAACGCTTCTCACATTGCTCCAATCCAAATTCAGCTGGATGGAAAGGAAACAAGATCCATCAACTGCATCAACTCACCGCAGGCTTTTGCACTGATTTAACTTACATTTGCTTAAGCCCCCTGGAGAAAGTGAGTCCTTTTAAAACCCAACAAGAGAAAATAAAGCATACTCTCAAGCAAATGGAAGTTAAGGTCCGGGAGAGCTGTGCCGCTGGGTGGGCTGGACAGGAACTCTTCCTGTTTGACATCCCCTGCGGGAGCTGATGCTCAAGATGATACGCCTGCTCCGGAAAATTGGGTGCACGACATCGAACGGGACATCGTGGATATGAAAAACGTGCTCCGGTCGAAACCAGCCATTCTCCTTTTCCATTTGGGGCTGCTCTCGCAACATGCGAAGGGATGCCTCGGGCCAAGTGGCCCAGAACCCAAAGACACAGGAGCTTCGCCGCCTTTTTCTCGGCCGTTCCCGAAGTGGTTTCCTTGAGCTCCTAGGCCTTTGGGGACCTTTTTTCGAGGCCCAGTGCTGCGGCCTGTGTCACTTTAATCTTGTTTGCCTTTTTGCACTGTTCCGTTTCATTTCCCTTTTTACGCGCAGCTTTCCAAGGCGAATCGGCCGTTGAAGGTGATGTTTGTATGGTATTTTGGCTTGGGTGTCAGCCCATGCTGTGACTGTAGGCATTCTCAGAATTTGGGGTGCTTGCGCAGGTGCAATTTTCAAAGGTTTCTGGCATATCTCCTGGCGCAAGCGACACGGATTGCCCAGTGCCACATCGTAGTGACTGCTGACCCAACCAGCATCTACTGGGCCTTCCGCCACAGCACCGCCGAGCAAATCACAGGGCCTCACGCGAAGCGGAATCGTGAAGTGGACTTGGTGCATTCGCGTGCATCAATCTGCAGCCTTGGACACGCAAAAACGGCTGCACGGTATATTCGCATGGAAGAGTAGCTGATGAAAATGGTTGGAAACAGGATTGGGCAAAATGGCAACTGGAGACTGCTCATCGGCTGCTTGGGTCCACGGCTGCCAACTGCAGCCGTCGAGCAGCTTGTGGGCTCTGCAGGGAACCGCCTTGGGCACAGTTCCAATCCCATGCTCGAAACTGCGAGGTTGGTTTAAAGCAAGCCCAGTTTGGGACAAGCGCAACGCAGTTCCCCAGTCCCAAGCAACAAATGCAAAAGTAGCTCCAACATATACTTCCCCAAACATCACGATAGCCATAGCATGCCATAGCATAATCATTGTCATTCATCATTCATCATTTCTGGTACTGCAGAAAACGAACACCTTGCTTTGTTTTACACAATCGACGCCCCTTCTTTCTCGTTTTTGTATCCCAAGCACTGGGACACGGACAGGTCCCAAACGCAAAGCTCACCAGACTCGTAGGCGGCCAAAATGGAATGTGGTCCTTGGCTGAGGGATTGATTGGAACAACGGGCCTGAAACCCAACCTTTTGCACCTCTAAACCGCCATGTTGACCGGACTATATAGACGGATCATACTGCTTGAAAGCAACACATGTTGAACTGTCGGGCAAATTCTGTACAGCACATACCAGCTAATCCAGCTGATGAGCACGTCACAACATGCATGGTGATTCCAGCAGTCAACGGAAAGCGATCTACCTTGACAAGAACATTGTCCCAGAATCGAACCTTCATACGTTCGGTGAATAAGCCCTTGCAACTACACGAATGCTGCATCCGCGCCACTCTAATCTGGTCTCTTATCAACATGTCTCACCAAGTAACCCCCACAACTGAATATGAAGTGTGAGAACACAGCTTGCTTATAGCCAGTGTCTAGAAGTTGTCATGGAGACAGGAACACGCCAGCTCGTCAAGTCTTCATGCGCCGTCGCATGAAGCAAGTCACAAATGATAGGCACGCGCGTCTACATCTTACCTTCCATGCCAAACAATGCTTCTTTTGTGCCTTCCTTCATGTAGCAAAGCAGCCCCTTGAGTAAATCTACATTCACACCGAGTACTCACCGTGTGCGTGTGTGTGTGCAACGGAGGATCCGGCACTGGCTATTTGAAACCCTAATAGACCCTAGCACTTCGACCGTGTGGTGCCTCAAGTATCACTTTAAGCTCGAGCACAAAAGCCACCGCGAGATCAAACCAGAAAGGGGGGGCGGTTCCGAGCTTCATGGAACCTGATTTAACTAGGTCCTCCAGTAGAGAGGTTAGAATACGGGTACCGACTTTATTCTGTCGCCTGTTTAAGTAGGTTGGAACCCTCCCAACCAAAACAAGGGGTTAAAACGGGCACCTAGCTGGGGGACCTAGTATTAATTTGGGCTGCCCACGGAAATGGCCCAAGCTAAGTCGACGAAGCACTCCCTCTGCCCTGCCCTGCACGCCCTGACCGGTCTTCCGCGGGCTTGTTTTTTCTGGCGTTCCTTTGGTTCGTCTTTGCCGAAACGGTGTGACGATGAGCCTCCCCAAAAAACAGGTGAGTCACAATCAAAACCTGGTATTGAAATGGTCTACCCAGAACCACGTAAAGAATTAAGAAGGCGGCCACAACTTTCTTCTGGCTGGGACTGCCCCTTACCAAGCTTCATCTACCCGAATCGGTCTTGAGCACGTGGCTCAGCTGGGTTTCATTCATAAACGCGTGGTTCAGTCTCCATGGGCGGCTCATAGACAGACTGCTGTGCTGAATTCGCGCCATTGGGCCATGCGAAGCTGTTCCGGCCGATGCCCTGCAGCTTCGCCGCGATGCCGCGGGAAAGCCGCGAGCCGCTCATTGGCTAAGCACATGACCGCAGTGTCCATCCGATTCGTTGGAACGTTCGACTGCTACGGGAACTAGATTTGTGGAATGGAAGTCCCTTGAGAAGCTGATCTTTGGGCCAGGTCATGTGCAATTTGCAGGCCGGAAAACGAAACTCTGCAAACAAAGACAAGTACCCAACCGTTTCTTCTCGAATGACGGAAACCCTTGCTGAGTCAGCGAATGCAGCTGCAGCAAACCAAGCTGGCCAATCAATTCGGGTTCGCTTGGTTGTGGCTTGGTATCGGGTGATGTCTCTGCGGTCAGGTTGGAAGGTAGAAAAAGCCCTCGTCCTAGTGTGGATGGACGAAATCCGTTTCGCACCACTTTGAAAGCATGGGAAACCACTGTTGGTCGGTTTTTGCAGCGGAATCAACATTCCGTTGGGTTTCTTAGGTGGTGCGAAATGGATTTCGCAACCATCCACAGTAGCATAACGTCATCTGGCCTGTGAGCTTGTGAAAGATAGTTCACACTCCCTGCTTTGTCCTTGGATGCACGATGCAACTGCCAATCAAATGGCCATGGTTCAAAACGAGTGGTAGCATTTTGGGGTAGGTGCACCACCCATTTTGGGCTTTATTTTAGTGGGGATTGGGATGTTCACTACGGGTACAGGGTTTTGACCCATGGCCAAATGGAACGCAGTCAACTGCAAAGGGGGGTTGGTGTGCCCGCACGCTGTGTGAGTCGACGACTGCATTTGCTACAGTCCTCTAAACTCGCAAGTCCAGATTTGGATTTTTGAATAGACACGTGTATGCAAGTGGGACACATTAAGGGTCCAGTCACAAGGGCCCAGATGTTGCCTAGATTTTGCTCAGTATTAAAAGCGCAGGACATGTGGCTGTGGGTCAAAAATAGACTAAAACCTGTGGTCCCCTGTTGGCTTAATTTTGACCCACACCCATGTGGTGCTTTGCAGCTAGGCTGGAACTGAAAACAAAGGGACCCCAAAAAGCAATAAAATATAGATATATATATATATATATTACATATATATATATATATGAAAAGAGGGGCTAATTCTGGGGAAGGCAGGAGGGTCATCTTGAGCTTCCGGGCCAAGGGGCGCTCAAAACGTGGGGCGGACGTCGACTCCGCCTTCCGAGCGCCCCGAAGCGCATCCACCAGGAGACCAGTGCAGCCGAAGGTGAGGACCAGGGTGACGACCAAAGCCGCCGACTGCCAGCCCCGTAGCAGCCTGGTTCCAGGAGCTGGAAATGCAAGATGAAGCAAATTGGGGCTATGGCTAAAAGTGGACCAGCATGGAAAAACCACCAGGATCCACCAGGTGAAAAGGTCGGTTTGGGGCAAGAATGGGTACGCAATCTAAGGTTCAGAGGATCAAACATCCGTCAGAATCCGTCGAAACCACCCGAAATCTGTGGCCAAGGCACAGGCTCGAGTAAAAGCGCGGGGAGGTTTCGTAGAAAATGGCCGGGACGTTGACCAGCACCAGTGCCACAGGGCCCAGGCCCCGAGCTAAGAAGCAAATACCAGCGGCAGCCATGCCCTTCCTGGCTGAGCCCCCGTTTTGGTTCAAAGGGCCAGTGCCTAGACCAACCTCGAACATTTCGCAGATTCGCTGGAGAAAACAAAAATCCCCCTTCCCAACCCTTCCCAACCCCCCCCCCCCCAACAGGACTTCCCTAACAACCTTTTCGCTGGACATACAAGTCTCCCTAACCTCCCCGCCCAACCAGGACCTCCCCCCCCCA